CACAAGCACACAAGAAGTATGCAAAGCACATAGCAGACTTCCATCTAAACAGCAACCTGGACATTGATTCAGTTGGTAAGTATAAAATTTACAGTAGAAGTAGTGTATTGAAATACACTCTCCTAGGGAGAGACTTGCACCATGTGCAAGCGGTAGATTACTTGCTGGATTGTGCCGTATTCCTCACAAGTTTGGGCATCAATGATTCACTGCCAGAGTGTCAGTGAAATAGGAATAGGTGTGTTTTGAGGTCAAACTCTAGCCAAGCTGATGTTAGAATGCAGCTAAGGTGGGCACCTGTTATTAGGAACTGGATAGTTTTTTTCTGTTTCTTAATCTAGAAGTAACTTCAAGGCCTGTTTTACGTTTCCAACAAGTGTAGTGCTTCTGACTTTGCTGCTGCCCATACAACTGTCAGGACTTCTCCTGCATTTTTGCTAAAATGGCAACCTTCTCTTTGGACAGCCATCAAACTAATACAACGATGGGGTCACTGAAGGCTCACTAAAAAGAGATCTGTGTCTAAAGCCAAGCAGAGCCAAAGGCCAGTTTAAATATGACTGTTCTGAAGTCACCATGGAAGAATTCAGTAGGAACAGCTGACATCATCACTTGCACTGGAGAGTTTTCCCCTGATTTTATCTCTGCCCAGCTTGTAGCTGTGACCAGCTAAAGGAGGTGATATTTGATTTGGTTCTGTGTGAGAAAGTTCAGTCTTTAGCAGCAAGGACTTCCACAGCTAGACTCTATACAGGAGGACTCCCTTTGCTGCACATTATATTCCAGTCACTCTGAAACCAGCAAGTTTGCATAGAATACTGTAATGGACACATACCGTGGAGAAAACATCAAGAATTTCAAGGAAAGAAGCCATCATGAGCTCTAGAGATCAGGCTGGATTTACACTATCATGTTACACATGAAAATATGCACATCTATGATGGGAAATACTGAAGATGACAAATATGAAACCCCATTACTGGAAGCACTTTACACAGAAGAAGTGCCCTTGAGGTGTTAAGTCTATCTGAATTCATAAAGCTGGACAATACCTTTGGTGAGCTCAGTGAGCAGTAGATAACTGCTGTATATAAAAGATCCTTACTTTGTGTCTGTCATGGTTTAAGCTCAGCCAATAACTCAGAACCATGCAGCCGCTTGCTCATTCCCCTTCTTCTTCCTCCCCAGGCTGAAGCTGAAAAGACAGCACTGCACCAGCTACTAAGAAGGAGAAAAATGACTGCTACTGCTGAACCCAGGACAGTGTCAAATTTGAAGAACAGAGGAACTGTTACACCTGGTCAGACCAGTCAGATAGAATGTTCTTTTACCCCTTTTCCAATGGTGTCTGACAGCAAATGTCTAGGGGTGGATTAAAAGGTAAGGATATAGTAAAACTTTTCCAGAATCTTGTTCTGGCCTTCAGTAGTCTGTACCTTATGGACTTCCATTGCCAAAGGCTTTCCTATTCAGTGATTCTTTATAGATTTTTCCAGTTGCTCATTGAGCCCATACAGCACCTTGTATCCACACTCTTTCTACAGCAAGGATTTCCACAGTTTAAATCAATGTATAAGGGGCCACTTTTGTTTCACTTGGTCTGTTTAAGTTTTATCTGATGCCCCTTAAATCTTGTATTGGAGGAGAGATGAGGGATAGCCATTACCTATTCACTTTCGCTATGGCACCTAGATCTCTAAACAGAAATTTCGTCAGCCACCTCTATTCCATGATGGAATCTTTTCCATCATGTATCTGTGCTTACACAGCAGCATGTTGGTAATATATGTACCTGTGAATTAGTCTCAAGCTCCAAAGATGAAGAGGTAGTTCGGAAGGAAGGCTTACTGACCTGAGATATGTTTTCCCTGTAGGAAAACAAATTGTGGTTTAAGCCCAGCCTGTAAGTCAGCACCACTGAGCTGCTCACTTACTCCTCCCTTTTTTCCTCCAACCCTCCAAGGGGTGGGGAGGAGAATCAAAAGAATGTAACATGGGTTGAGATAAGAACAGTCCAGTAACTAAGGTATAACACAAATCACTACTGCTACCACCAGTAATAATAATGGTAGGAGAAATAACAAGGGGAGAGCATGAGGGACTGAAAAATCTTTGATCAGACTAAGCATTATTTAGCAACAACTAAAAACACTGGTGTTATCAGTGTTGTTCTCATACTAAAGTCGAAAACACAGCACTGCACCAGCTACTAAGTAGAAAAATGACTGCTACAGCTGAACCCAGGACATAAATAATATATTATTTACATGGAAAATGATGAATTTGCTGGTAGAAGCATTAAACACTACTCAGTCTCATCTCTCTTCATCCCATTGCTTCTCGTAAGCCAGTTTAGAAAGTAGGTATTTTCATTTACTTCAAAAGCCCAACTTTTCTTTTATACTGGAAATGAGTTTAACCAGAAAAATTCAGCCACTCCTCTGGAAAAAAAAAAACCAAAACAAAAAAAGGTCCAAAATCAAACTCTGTGTTAAAATTGCTTTAAATCTCAGTGGCTGAAGGCCAGATCATTGGAGGGCAGAAATGAAGGTAAAGGGCAGACTTTCATAAAAAGAGAAGCAAGCAGTCAGCTGTAACTAGTGTTTGACCCATCTACTCTTCATGTTTTGTTCTTCTGAGGTTTCGTCTTTAGAAAATGAAAACCAGTAGGGCATGGAGCTGCAATGTGGGAATAAGAAGGGGTCTGGGGGGACTAGTGAGATGACTGAGGGACAGATATTAACGGGAATGATAAAATGGGAGTTGGATAAATATGTACTGCAGAAACAAGGTAATCTTGCTTCTACATATGCAGAAAACCTGTGCTTTGGGTGTTGGATTGAGTAATGATACATAACTGCAATAGAATAAAGAAAACATTTATATTTTCTTCCTCATTTTGGTTTTGCCACATGGCCAGAGGGAATCAGCTTCTCGATTTTAAGACCTGGCATTAAAGTTTTCAGTACAGAATCAAGTATGCACTGAAGGTAGGACCACAGAGACCAAAATCCTCTGTGTAACCACAGAAAGGCTCACACAGGCAGCATCAACATAGACTTCCCAAACATCAGCATACAGCAATCTTAGAATAACAGAATCACTCCTTCCAGCCTTCTTTTCATCCTTCCTTTCATCCTCCCTTCCTTCCTTTCCTCCCTCCCTGCACCCACTCACCCACAGTACTAGAAATGGTAGGGTGACCTTTTCTATATCAGAAAACTTTCAGGCTTTTCAGTGAATGTTGCACTTGATGGACTGGATCTGGCTGTCACCTTTTGGTTTCAAATAAAACATAAACTTTGTTAGAGGTTTTTGAAGACAGAGACACACAGTAGTTTGACTTAGCAAAATCACCCCTTTTTATGAAAGATCTATTTAGAATTTCTTATAGGGGCAGAGGCACTGAATGTGCAGCAGGAACAGGATGTCATAGCTCCTGTTCCTCAAGAGCCAGTGCTTTGCCTTGGTCTGTTTCCTGATGAACTGAAGAAAATATTATTTCCAGTCATGTGTTATAAAATAATCCCCACTGTTGGAGTGAATAAACTGGAAGAGGTCTGTGTGTTTCAGACAGCATCTTGCTGCTACATAAGACTGTCCACCAAAATGTCAAATGGAAATACTTTTCTTCTGTATCACTCCTATAGGTGTCAGTTATGTACAAGTGGAGGAGGCTTCAGCAAGGAGGGCCAGTGAACAGCTGCCATTTCTTCATGGGCTGTATGAACATTTTTTCCCTTGAGCCTCTTGGGATTGGTATTTCAACCAGCCTAAGTTATTGCCACCTGGCCTAGCACCAGCTCTGCTGCTCAGCTGTGAGTCGTAGCAACAGACATGGCAGAAATACGTCTTGGGAAAGTCACAGCAGCATTACATATCCCAGGGGACGTTTATCCCAATGCTTGCAATTTCCATTAGCCCTTCTTCTACCTACATCCTTTCTACTGAAGACACTGCTTTTAGAAAAGACAATACACAAAACAATGTGTGGAAATACTAATTTGCTCATCTCTTCATGTTGCTTCTTTTTTCCTGTATTGAAGGGGACAACATATTTGATTAATGTAAGATGCTAAGATGACTTTTGCAAATACATCTGTCATCATCCTGCTGACCCAAGATGTGGAATGAAGGTGAATAAGGTGAAGATGTTTAGATTCATGTGTTGGGTTTTTGGAGTTCTTCAGGTTTGGAAAAACTGCATGTCTTTTACCTCTGGCTTTTCAGGCATGTTTTCTGGGCACTGAATATCTGGAAACACTTTGAGGAAAAGGGATCTCGGGGTCCAGCTGCCACAGCATATTTCTGGAAGCAGTTTTGTTCTAGTAACTTTTGTCTTTGTTATTTCTTTCCTACAGTGATATTTTATGTTCAGCCCTGCAGGCAACCTGGTGCCATTAAGCCACATCCATCCTACTGTTCTGCAGTGCTTCCAATTTGCATGGAAAATTATTCATGTTAATAACTCTCTATTGTTCATGTCTTATCTTCCTAAGTCATGTCAGAGAGCTACACTTACAAATGCTTCTGTCAAAAGGCTTCTGTACACTTTATAGCATGAAGTGACTTGTCTTCAGGGAATTCCAATGAATTCAAGGCTTTTAGGGACGTATGTAAAACCAGACAGAATTCTTAAGATTTTCTTAACTTTTCCTCAGGTCATGTTGTTCACCTTGGCCTTTGCTAGCAGTCTCTGACCCAAATATTTCTGCCTATGCTACTGCTGAGCCTTGTCGTGTTTCAGAGGGAGACCACTTGTCATTCTGCATGGTGATGGAAGGTGTTCAGCTCACAGTGCAAGGGAAGGGTCCTTCCTCAGCTGATGTCCAGTGAAGGTATTGATTACAGGTATCACTTGAATTCAGCAAACACAATCTGTCCTACCTTTGCATTTGCTGCAAAGGGGTTTGCCTCTTCCTGCAAACCAATGGGATAACTGCTGGTCTTGTGAAGATACCAAGGCTTTTAGATTCATTGACATTTTTCATTGTTTGTACACAATTGCAGAAAATTGTAACATGTTTTTAGAGTATAAGGGAGTGCTTAAAAAACATCAAAGCATCTTTTCAGTTGCTGTTTAAAACCACTCTTGTTTCTCAGTTTTTAAACACTATCACTCAGCACTGGTTTTGCTTCCTAATGTTGATTTGCTTTCAGCTGAGCTTTTGTTTCACAAACTTTGTGAAACACACCTGCTTAAACACTTTGGCAATATGAAGCAAATCTGAAAATGGCTCAGCATCTATTATTTCATAACTGAAACCCAGTCAGGTTTCTTTTGTATTTTAGTATGATACTGTAAGCCACACAGGAAACCTACCTTCATTTCTATAGTGACATATTCTAGAATATTTGGTCAGATATTATCAACTATATAATATATTAAAATTACTCAGTGTTGGCGCTACTCCTAAATACAAGCCCATTGACATGCAGTATAGCTCTATTTGGATATTAAGAGAGTATAAAATGAGTTTCATTTTCTGCCAGATGACAAACAAAGTAACCATCAAAGCAGGTGAAATAATAATAATTATAAAATGAAAAAAGACAGTGTGAAATTTCCGGAAATAGCTTCTTTATTTATTTACAAAAAGATTAGGTCATCAGGTGAATCTTTTATGACAAATGTGTTCCTGTTCCTACTGAATCAATGACAAAGTTTTATTGACTTCACTGGCAGCATAAGCTGTTCCTGTTAGGCAATAAAAATATAAACCCTGACTCTGCCTTCATGGACATCAGTAGAAGGTTGTATTAACCCTACCCAAGTCTAATTAGCATTTGACTATTGCATTCCCTCCAGGTGGGTCTGACTCCATCTGAACAAAGTAGAATTGTTCACAATGAAGAGACAAAAGTATTTCTGCTTACAGACCCATGTTCAAAGACATGAGTTAATGAAACAAATCTCAGTAAATCTACTGATAAGCAGACCATTCAGCCTCTATCATCAGCATCACCAGATGTATTTCAGTGGAAATACACTGCTTTTCACCAATAGTGCTCTGGCAGACTACACAATTTTCTTAGGTTAAGGGGAAGCTTAGACATCAGGAAGTCTAAAAACTTACTGGTCTCAGAGGCAAACACATCCCCTTGCTCCCCACCCTTCTCCCCAGTACAATTTCCCCCAGCATTTGTAAAATGGCATTTTTCAGAAACCTTTTCACAGGCTTCCCAAGCCTCAAAAGGCTCATTGAAAAGCCATAGTTTGAAGGAAAGTCCTTTTATGAATTATTAAATGGTTAGAGGATGAAAAGCAAAGCTGGGAACTACTGATCATTTTTCACAATTAAAGGAAGTTGCAAGAGGAAGGCAGGGGAAGGAGACTGTGCCAGGTCCTGCATTGTCCAACACACTGACAAATGGGCTGGAAGAGATGGTGGACAGCCAACGTGGCTGATTAGACAAAGTTGTTTCCAATAGTCAAAACCAAAAAGCTGCCTGAGAAGGTAGCACAGGGATCTCACATTATCAACTGACTGGGCAGCAAAATGGCAGAGAAAATACATAGCTAATAAATACAAAACAGTGCATTTGAGAAAAATACAGCCCTAATCAATGCAAACAGTTCTGAATGAGCAGTTGTCACTCAAGGAGAGTTCTTGGCATCACTGTAAATGTTAACATAAAAACACCAGCTTAACATTCAGACCAGGGACTGGGTGTGCACTTGGCTCACAAACCTGACCTGCTGGTTGCCAAAAACTGGAAAATATGAAAAGGGAAGGGACCCTTTGTACTCACCCTGTCTCCCATAGATGCCCACTACTTGCCACTGTTGTGAGAAGATGTGAAGCTGTATGAATCTTTGCTATGACCTAAACCAGCTCTTTTACATCCTAGGTAAAATGAAGTGTCCAAGAGAGTAGATCTAACCTGCAGTCCCAAAGGAAAGTGAAACTATAGAGAAGCGTACAACCTGAGAATCGATGTCTCAAGTTGTTTATGTAACCAAGTCCCAGACAAAGCACCAAAGGGTCAGAACAAACAAAGCCTCAGAAGAGACCACAAGGAGACCTGAACTAACCCCTGACAGGTTAAAAGCTTGCTAGGTGCTGCTGGTGCTTCAGCAAAGGGGATGACTGAGACTCCAAAATACCACAATAAAACATCAGAGAAACACTTAAAAAGCTCAGAGACAGGTGTGAGCAACATGTCCTGTAACTGCAAGGTGTCCAGTAGGTACAGAGACATATTTCAGCTTAGTGAACAGAGTGTATACAAGTGTCTACATGGTACAACCCAGTTGCCAGCTGGACTTAAACCACAAGAACAAGGAAGACAGTATCGGCAATTCCAGCAGTTTTTCCCTTGGACAGACACTTGTTGAAAAGAAAATCAATAAACTGTCAACCTGAAAGCAAATGAGACTCATTGCACACTAGTAATTCTCTTCTGTGACATAAATTTCCTGATGACTGTTATACTGGACAAGGCATATGGCAGATTATGATGTCTGAAAATGTCTTTAGTGTAATGACCCTGAATTTACACCCTGTGCAGTGGAGCACAGGTTTACATACCAACATCAGATGTTAATCTGTACTTAACCAGGCCTTATCAGTGGAATAGTTTGTTAGCAGTTGATACTTTGCTCAGCAGGCACAGTGCTCAGCAGATGATGGTAGAAGAATGGGAATTTGCAGAAGTATGGCGAGACAGATACAGAAATGAACAGTAGAATATGAAGTCCTGGCATTGTTACTGCTTCCTGAGCTTGAGATGGTTCACATCCCCAGAAGTACTAAACAGCTGCTGAGAACAGTTGCTATCATACTGATCCAGAATGTCTCAGGTGACCATATACTTAGAGAGAAAACACATTTTTTTATTATAATTTGCAGAAGACAGGCAAGGGGCACTGGGTCTGCTACTTAACCTGAGAACATCTTAATGTTTTATACTGATACACCCCAAGAGGCATGTTTCTTGCCTAAAAGTGGGCTCTGGCCTCTGCTCCCCACTCATCTCCCATTCTCAGCTGCCCCACAGAACACTCACAGACAGCACACTGAAGTGTCCTGCTTGTGCAGAATCACAGATGCACTGGAGACGTCCTGTCAGACTTTCTAGGTAAGCAGGTAGCTTGGAAGCAACTTTGGAGGGGCTCTGCTCTCACGATCAGGTAGATAATTACAACAGGCCAAAATAACCAAACCAAGTGAAAACTCTGCAAGAAAAAGCAAGTTGCTAACTCTGGATAGTATTTTATCAGGAGTGAGCCACCAGTACAAGCAACAATGCAAGGGCTTCAGGAGTAACTGAGTGTACTTGAAGAATGTAGTGAATGTGTTGGAAATGTAAGTATTTGGACTGCAGTTTTCATAAGCAGTGTTTAAGGGCTACTATCTTACATCTTGGCCAAGAAAACAAAATATGTAATCAAGAACTGTAGCTTTAACAGTTTTCAGTTTTCCAAACACAGGGCATTTTAAGACATATCCCTTTAAGCAGAAGCTATTGGGAAAATGTCATCAAAATAAAGATCTCTACCCATTGTTTTGGCAGGAGGCAGGCAGTGATTACCGAAAACCACAGTCTATGCTGAGTACCATGATGGTGGAAGGATGGCGAACTACCTCTTGGCTCTGACCACACCTTCTTCTGCATAGAAGTTGATTCAAAGATTCCTGCTGGCTTTGGTGGGTCACATCCTAATGGCTCTCAGCTGGTAGCATCTCAGTGATGTTCACCAAGTTCCAATGCGAACTTCAAAATTGACCTCTTTCTACTCTGAAGAGTTTTCATGGACCATGTAAGCGAAGTCCAATGGATACTATGGTCTACAGGTCCTGTAGAGAGATGTTGGGAAGGCTGTGTCCCTTTAGGGACATGAACTGGGTATGTACATGAACTGGAAGAGAGGTTAAGTTATTGTAACATTAATTTTCCATTTGAGGACACTCCGACATGTGCCCAGAGAAATGAATACATAGCTAGCTTATCAAGCAAATGCATTTGGATATTTTCCCTCACACTCAGCAATGGACTATTCTTAGTAACTAATAATACACATGTGCCTTGCAGCATGCTTTCTGATAGCCTTGTTTCTATTCTTTAGGGATCTAATATTTTACCTTATTTCCAAAGAATCATGGATTATAATAAAATGTCTTACTCTTTTTATAATGTGTCTGTTTCTTACAGTGAAAAATCAAAAGAGCTGCTGCTAGGACCAACTTCTTTCTTATATATGCATTGGAGGTATAGGTGTCGGGTTGACCCAGTAATATATGCAAGTCAAAACAGTGCAAATTAAGGGTTAGAACTGACTCCTATAAACGTTAAAGAAATTATGTAGTTTTTAACCACTTAGAGATTAAAATCAGAATTTTCATGGTGTATTATTTTTTCTATCTCTGTTTTCTAAACATTTAAACCAAGCACCCCACAGCAATCCCAGTATCTGCACTTAATTTGCAATCCATCGTGTGTTTTAAGGTGGATTCTTTTAAGCCTGTGTACATGCGAACAGAAGTAGCTGTTGGCAGGTTCAGAGACACGCAAGCGCAGGAATTTGGTACACAGTTGCCATGGCAGCTAACCTACATCTAAATTATCCTATACACTTTTCTCAGCCATTCTCTAAGCATTGTTCCTCCTGTCTGAATTGTCGGTTCTTTTTTTTTTTTTTGAAGACCTGCCTTCTGCCAAGCCCTCCTTTGTGCCACTTTGGAGCATCATCTGCTGGCTCAGTCCTTTCACCACAGTGTACTCCATATTCTGTTTCTATTACCTATTAGTGGAAGGAGGAGGAAGGAGTACGAGGCAGAAGCAGGTGATAGTCTTCCAGCTACTCATAGCTTGTTGAAAGCTGGTTTTTGCTGAAGCAAACCACAGCGGTAACTCCCTTCAGTTTCAGGACTTAAAGCTTGCTGCAACACCACTGATTTTGACAAAGTTACTGCAGATTCAGAGTGACATAATAAAAGCCAAACTTGGCCTTAAGACAGTGGATTTATCAAATGATGAATGCATCCTGATCTGTGGATACGTGGCAGTAAGTCAGGGGGCTAACTCTTCTGTCCAGAAAACAGGCTTTGATGTGCTTTAGCAATGCTTATTACCAAGTAGAAATATTAAAAGAAAGGGCAATTAGTCCTCCAAGCTCTTTCCCTTCCATGGACCTCTCTCTCAGCACAGAAGCCTAGTGCTATTTATGAAAAGGTTTCATTCTTTATTTCTGGTGAAAAACTTCCATTCTGTCAAATTGTTCTGTTTCAGAGGAAAACCATCATACTGGCTATTTCTGACCAAACATCCTTTTTATCTCCCTTCTTGCCTCCTCTGAGAAATAAGTTGTGACGCTGCTTCAGGGGAACCCAGCCCAGGTCTTATCAGTTCCTGACAGATCATGGGTAGCCAACATGCCTTCTGCCTATGGTGGAATGTGAGCTCAGGGTTTACAGAAAGTGAGATGAGAAGATACGAAGCAGAGAGTATTTACTCACTTATGTTTAAGTGAGTAAGCTCAGTGTACTGCCAAAGCAGAAGTTTTGTCTAATTTTTAACTAAGTTCAGTTTTGGTATCAGTTTGACTGTTTGTTAGTTTACAGGCAATTGCCTAGAAGACAATTGCTGCTGCTGAAGACTTGCCATTGCCAAATACATTTGTGTGTAAAGTCAAGAAGTGGGGATTACTCAATTTATCATCTTCCTATCACAAGAAGTAGAAAGATCCACAAATTTGGAAGACTACAGGCCATGCTAAAGTGAGCTCTTTTCAGGGATACTGAAATCTATGAGATTCACCAAGAGCTTTTTGCTCTTATTTTCTGCATTCATTTATTCAGTCTATCCACCCATCAGACTATTTATTCAAGCTATCCAGGATGGCTTGCTTTTTAAAATGGAGTTCCAAAATACTAGGAACAGTGCAGATGCTAAGCACAGGGAATAAGGTCTTGAGAAATGACAATGAATAAACACTTCATGATAATTCAGGCTTGATGAAAATCTGCCCCCATAAATGCATTATGTGGTAGTTTATTAAACAACAGGTAAAGAACTAAAACAATCATGTTTTGGAATAACTGTCAAGAGAGGTCTGGCGACAGTATCAGTATCCCCCTGTGAATAGACATGTGGAGAAGCTTAAGAGAGAAGTGGATTTCCTCCCACTGCTTTTTCATCTCAGTACGTTACTCTCTCCCACTCTAATTTTTTCTCTCTCGCTTCAAAATACTGCATGCATACAATAACATTCTAATAAGAGAAACCACTGCAGGCTGAAGTAGGCATCCTGAAGTGAGCCATGAAACTTGAAAATAAAACAGAATCAAGGTTCCCATTCAGAATGGGAATGCATAACACTTCCCATTCAGAAAAAAAATGTCAGATACTAAGTTAGATAGACATGTCTTCCATCCGTATTTCCTAATATAACAATTTCACATGGATTGTTGTACTTGTGCATGGGACTTTTTAGGGCTTAGTGCAAAGGTCAGAAATCCTGTTATTTGCATTTTACAGATAGAGAAGCTGAGTTACGTGGAAGTGGATTGCTGAGTCCAGATTTCCAGCTTATTGCCCGTAAGGCCTTCCGGTTATATGGTCCTCATAGCACAACACAGATCCATGCAGTTATCAGGGATATTATTTATTGTTTACCCTTTTTTCTCACAAAAAAGAAACTACTTGCCAAAGTTGTTGACAAGGAATTCTATCACTTTGGGGACATGATGTGTTTAGTAGTTATTACTGCAAGCTATGATTCATACCATTTGGACCTCAGTTCTATTTTGCACAGCATGAGAATAAAGTAAATTACATTCTGGAGAGCTTTGCCAATGAAATACTAAAGCCAGCATCTGCGATCAAGCTCACTGCTATGCTTTTCAGCAGTACTGAGGGGGAAGGGAGAAGTACAGTACATTAAGCCGGAATAGTTATCCTTTGTGGCCTTACAGAGAGACTGCTATGATGGTTTTGAGGCTCATGATGGCATAATACAGCCCCCAAACTCTGTGGAGCCTCAGCAGCGATAGGTTCAGGAATAGTTAAAAAACAGAATTAGTGTCTTACTGGTGTTCCCCTGTTCTGCTGTGTGCCGAGGCAGGGCCAGGCACACTGCTAGATCTAAGAGGCTGGGGATAGGGGGAGTCATAAGATGAAGCCAAGGTCCTAACCCCAAGCGATCTAGGTTGAAGCGTGTACTGGCTTCCACTGGCATGGCTCCATGCAGGAGACCCAAGTATGCAGAAAGCAGCAGTGGCTGGCTCACACTGAGCCTCCCGTAACCTGGGTTAAGCTATAGCTTGGCAGTGCTCCCAGGGCCACTCAGTTCAGACAGAGCAGAAGCAGCCTAGCCTCCCCAGCCCATGATTCTTGCTTGCCTCTTACAACCCCAGAACAAGATTATCCAGCAAACCTCTTGCTAGCTCCCTGCCTCCTCACTAGCCAGGCCTGTCCTGCCTCAGCTGGCTTGGGCTGCATTTCTCAAGCAGCCTTGCTCTTAGGCATGTTCCCTTCTCCAGAAATCTAAGCATCTGTGGTGATGCCATGGCTGTTTCAAGGTAAGAATTTTCCAGCCTTCTCAGCAGCTAGTCTGATGGCTTAACTTCTGTTGGTTTACAAGCATATTGCTGGCTTCTGTGGAAGCAGCACTAGTTTTTGAGGACATAGCAATCCAATGACAAGACACTGCTGAGGTGACTGGTCCTGTTCCCTGTCTCCATGTGGCCTGGGTCTGACCCCATGGAAAGTAGGCTGGCACCCCCAGCTTTCTATGGTCTTTATTCTCTGTATGAGTTTGGTGCTGGATCAGACAGGTGTTCAGGGCTGCTTAAGGAATGGGCACAGAGGTGCTGCTGAGGGTAGTGGGGAGGATGGCCTCATGTTTGATTGCAACTGGAGGTTGTGAGATTGTTCCCTTAGAGTTTGCTTATACTGGCAACCACTGCCTCTGTGCAAGAGTCCCACTGCCACCCACCTATCATTTCAGAGTTAATCCATCAGTTATTTGATACCTGTCAGCATTACCCTGCTCTCCATCTTTCACCCTTCCACTGCCTAACCTGGGCTGCAAATGCCCCTGACCTGCTCAGTCCTACTGAAGTGTGCCCAACAAATGGCATCTTGACATCTTATTTTATGCACATTTCACACTGATGCATGTACAAATGCATAGGGAACCTGATGGTGGCTGTAACAGCACCATCATTTTGCATTTGAACCACTAAGAATGTAACTTTTCAGGGGGCAGTATAACTGCACTGGTTAATGGGACAGATCTTATGTAGTAATAGCCTGTGCCTGTGTATTTAAACTGTGTGTCTCTTAACGGCCTTGCCTGTATTCCTTATCACATTAATTCTCTGGGGTAAATTTCCTTCCCCAACCACCTTATCACCCATTATCATGCCTCCCTGAAACATATCCCTGTGGCTAATGGGATATGGCTGTATCATGTCAAGTTTAGCTGTGTTAACAGGGAGCAAAGCGTGGGTTTGGAAGGACCAAGCATGCCTTTGAAGCCATGCCTGCCAAAACGCTGCCATGAGCGGCTTTCCCTGCTTGAGGAGGAGGGTTGGACGAGGTGACCTCCAGAGGTCCCTCCCCACTTCAGCCAACCTGAATCCGCAGTGTTTGCTTCAGACTGTTTGCTGTCTCCTCTCTGTTCGTCTCAGTTAGGGACACCAATGTCCTTCTCCTACTTGCCAACCCACCACACCTGTAGCATGGCTGGGCTCCAACAGCAGGAGACCAAGGCAGGAGCGTACTGTGACAGGGCAGAGGTCGCTTTGCTAGGCCCTGCTCTCTGCATGCAGCCTGGGCCTCACACCTGCAGCCTCACACCAACCCTCGGCACACCGGAGAAACACAGCCAAGCAAATGGTAGGCTGTGGCAGCAGCCCTAGCACCCAATGCCTGGTGCCTTCTTTCAGGCAGGCCACTGTGCTTGCCGCCATGGCCCGTTTGAGGTCGAAATAAAACCGGTTTCGGGACCGCAGAGGCAGGCAGGCAGGACCTGCCTGCTCCAGCAACGCATGCCGCAGCTCTGCCCTCCCCGCGCGCAATGGCAGCGGGTGGTTCATACCAGGGAGATGATCCCGCCGAACACCGCTGCCACTTCCTCATCCCTTCAGGAATGGGGCGAGGCCGCTCAGCACCGGTCACCCGCCGGCTACTGCCGGCCGCTACAGGTGGGGTAGGTCGGCGGCGCGGGGGGCGCTGGGATGTGTAGTTCCTGCGGGCGGGCGGCGCGGGAGCGGCTCGGCTGTGTGGACTACAAGCCCCAGGGCGGCGCTGCGCGGCGGGGCTGTAACCGCACTGGGGGAGGAGGCGGCGGCGGGAGGAGGTAGTTCCTGGTGGCGCGGCCCCGCGGCTTGGCGCGCCTGGGGGCGTCCGAGTGGAAACCTGTCTCCAGCCGCCAGGCAGCCAGCAGAGAGCCCCAGCCAGGGCGGGAGGGGGGAGATGCGCCTTACCCTTCCCCACAGCGGCAAGCCGCAGCCGTCCTTGATTAACAATTAGCTGGTTCCCTAGTCACCCCCGGCAAGCAGTGTCCCATGCACGCTGACCCACCGCCGGCAGCTCGTTAAGCCGGCAGCTGAGGGCTTCTCCCGCGGTGCTGGCGTGCGGGTCGCTTAAGCCATGGGGAATGGGATGAACAAGGTAACGCCGCTCGTCGTTGTTGCTGTGCGTGAGTGCATGTGCGCGGGCGAGGCGCGGCGGTGGCCGCGGGTGGCGGTCCCTCCCCGCGCCCCCTCCTTTGTGTCGCCCCTGGGCGTTGGGTGCCGCCGGGGCAGACCGCGGGCCCCCGCGTAAGGAACAAAGGCCAGGGCAGGAAGGGCTCTTCCCTTCGACTTCAGGGGTCCCCCGCCCCGCTGCGTGGGGGGAGGGAAGGAGCCTCGGCTGCGCGGCTCTCCCGGGGCGCGCCTAACCCAGCCGCAGCGCGGGCAGGGGGAGGGGGGCCCTGGTTTCGGTGATGCTCGTCCGGGCTTCCCCTCCCCGGTCGAAGCGAGCCCACGGGGTTCGGGGGGGCCCCGCGCCCCCAACGGTCGCTAACGGCTGCAAACAGCCGCCGTGCCCCCCCGGCGCTGTGCTCCGGTCAGCCTCAGTGCCGGGCCCTTCACCGGCGGGGTCCCCCGCTGGGGCTGCCATGGCTGAGCCGGCATCCCCGGCTTGCGGCAGGACCCGGAGCTGTCATCCCGGCCGACCCATCGTTCAACTTGTCCGGCTCTTGCTCCCTGTCCCTGACCACCCGTACTCCCCAGGCCCCTCGAGGGTCTCCCCGGGCAGGCCGGTGCGAGCGCCAAGCAGCCGGTGTGTACGGGCAGTGGCCAGAGGGCTGGCCCCCGTGCTGGTGGGACAGGAAAGCGCTTGGCCCAGTGGGGATAGCAGCGAGGAAGTAAGATGGATCTGTTTTGCAAAGGGTGTTGGCTTTTTGGCAGTGGGGGCTTATTGTAAGCGCTGATTCCCCTGGCATGCCGTGGTTTGTATCAAGGGATAACTGTGATTTTTCTCAGTATCTCCACCTCTGTTTTAAACCTAGGTTTGAAAGTGTGGTGGTAACTAGCCTTTTATATATAGCTTACTGTGAGGAACAGGAGTTGAGTCATCTCTTCTCTCAAGCGTCCTGCTTTGGGTACTTTGGGAGTAGCTTTGCTGTAAGCGTGGCCTCCGCCAAAGCGAAGAAGAAGAGCTAGAAATACTTGCTCATGAGTTGTCCAAGTCTGACATCTTTGCGCCTGGAAGCCAGACTGGTGAATGTCTGGAGTGCTTAGTGTGCCACCTGGGAGCTGAAGCCTTTTCATCCTGTGGATTAGAAGCATTGAAATAGAAACATTAGGCAGGGGAACGATCTGGCTAATTAGTCCAACCAAGTTAGGAGGTAGAACCTCCCTTGGTCCTCTCCACTTGTTTTGTAGTCTGGCGATAATGTTGTGGATAAGTGGCCACTCCTAGGAGGTACCTACAGGGACTGGCCAGTTAGGAAGAAACACAGCTGGAGAGACTTCTTTTGGGCTTCTGCTATGTTTGCAGTATTCTCTGAGAACACTTGAAATTATCAAAACGTTTAGAGGGACAGGATATGGGATGCTAAAGGTGCAGTCTCGGGCAGGGGGAAAACAGACAGTTCTCAGTCCTTTGATGGTTAGCACTCTTTGTCTGCATTACATCTTCCTATGGTACTGTGGGGGCAGGAGTTGGCAATCCGTGACTCCAGGCAATTTGGTTATTTTAATGCTGTTAGTTGTTGCCCTGACGCATACCGACTGGAGCTTTCAGCCCAAGCATAGTACTACTTTTATTTTTCCTTCTTTTTTATGATAGTATCAAAGAGGAAATGTTCAGCAGTTTTCAGAAGAGCTGGCTCCTTTAAGGAGGCTACAACCACATTGGGTACTGGCCATCAGGGTTATTTTTGTAGGGGTCCCGTGTGTAGATCTGGTACTTGCCACCTTCAGAATGTGCCCCTGGATCATCTGTTCCTTTTGATCTTGTGAGTCAGTGAGTGCTGGAGGGGTAAGGGAAGGTGTGGAGTCATCAATGCTGATATCGGGGCATTTGCTTGACTCAGTGTAGTCTATCAATACAGATTACATTAGTTTCAAACTGAAGTGTGTGGTTTGTTTTTATTTTGTGCTAGAGCTATATGCAGATGGTAGAAGTAAATAAGCAGGTTATCCAATGGTGGATTATTTCATTTAGGGAATCTGTTTGTACTGATGCCAGGGGAAGAGGATTAGTGGTGACCTGTAATGGGTATGTTAAGGAAAAGCTCCAGAGCTTGCTACAGCTGCTGTGGCTGCTCTTGGATGCTGAGCCCTTCTCAGTGGCATGGTCCCCTTGTATTTTTCTGTCATACGATATTGATGTATTTCATAGCAGATAGCAGTCACACCTGACTTTCTGTGGCCATTAGTTCTGATCAAGGGCTAGAGGCCTTGCATTCCTTTTAGGTGGGTTTGTCTTATGTTGCTAGTTGTCTCTGTAAAATCAGATGTGCCTAGGGTTTTATTTTCCTTAAGCCCACCTGAGCCTCCTGACTTTTCCTAAATTAAACTGAAAGCACTGGTTTATAAATACCCTTCTTACTCTGCTCAGAAGAAAACTGGCTAGTGAGTGTGTGTTGATTTAGCTACTATTAATTTTTAGTGCTTTTCTTTTTACATCTTTTACGTATAGGATGAGTAACGGGGTCTGACTTGAGAAATGGTTTGGCCTGAGTTGTCTTCATGCTTAATGTCTAACTTTGACTTGTAGTCAAAGTTCCTGCTGAACTGTCTTTACAAATTACAAAGGTATTTTTCTGGAGCTGAAGTCTAGTGGCTGGGATGGTGACAAGAGACTGCAGTCCTTAGATTTGATTATCTGTGAACAGCATATGCTTAGTAAAGAGTGTTTCCTGGGTTTTAGTTCTTGTTCACCCTGTCAGAGTTAACTGCCTGTTATCCATGCAGACTTTTCTGAAGGGTTGTGTGTTATCTCTACAAAAACACAGATAAGCCCCATTCGTTATAGAAGTTGATGCATAAGAAATGTAAATGACTGTGAATAGTCAGAGCTGATGCAACCAGTTCTATGGAAGCCAGTGAAGCTGCACCAGTTTGTGTTGAGTGGCAAATTCCACTCCCTGACCTGTGCTACTTGCCTGTGCCGATAGGCAAGGTGGGCTTATCTTCTCCTTCTACAGAACCTGACCATCTCCAGAGAAAGCCCAGTGAACTCCTCTGGAGCACCCATCTATTTCATCTAGAAGCAAACATTGGGCCAGGAGTTAGATGCTTTATTGTAACTGTATGTCTGTATAGGAAACAGCAGCAAAGTAGCCCTTGAAGCCCTTTTCCAGAGAGGTGTGTTTTCAGGAAGGACTTCTCTGGACTTCTTTCCAGAGAATCATTACCAGCTGGAGCAGCTATCATCCATTGCAGGGCGCTGCCTTTGTGCAAGGTGGAGAAGGTGAGGTGCTTTCATGCGATGTACAAATAATGACGGGCGTCTCTTGGTTGTGCGTTCTTCTACATCTGTTATTTAGTCCGTGGTCATTTTCTTAATGTTTCGGGTCATATAAGGAGGCTGCTGTTTTTATTCATAAAGCAGTGGTTGAAAAGTTCACAAAAACAACCACCTTATTTTCCTTCTCTTCTGACTCCCACCCCTTCTCTCTCACACGCCCCTAGCAGCCATCGGCCTTCATTTTGCACAGCCTGGAGTTGCAGTTACTGAAGGCAGTGTGAGATGACACAGCTGAAAGTTCCCAGCCGTAGTCTAGTGCCGAAGTATTAGTCAGCACGGCATGAAGATTCACTTCTTTCCAGGTAGCTTTCACCCATAGTTATGTTTCTTGCTTCTAGAATGACTAGGACAACACGGGTAACATGTGTTTTTGGTTGCACGGTGTCCTAATTTCCTATCTAGCATATAGCGTTGCTTCATGATGCACAAATGCAAACTTCTGGACTTTTCCTCCTTTGCCAACAACAATCTAAAAAGCCTATTTTTGCAACACCAACACCTCCCAGTTTCTTGGTATCTTCAATTTATAATGACTAACCTTAATGACTGACTGGAATTTAAGCTTTTATCCTCTCTTGAGAGCACATATTTGATGTAGAAATAATGTCCTGGAGTCTAAAATGCTGTAGTTTACAGTAATGGTGATGTGATTTGAGATTTGTGCTGCCGACAGGAAACACCAGATAGCTATTTAAACATATCAGACAGGCTTTTCTCATGATTTATTTTTTTAAGCTTAAGATGAGGGAGCTGGCTGGGGTGATCTGATTGGTGAAATTCATTCATAACTTGAGTCTTCTTTTGCTTTAGAGCGTGTTTCCTGTTTGCAGAATTTGGGCCTTAGCAATGGTCTTTGGGTACTCTACTCTCTGGAGCAGCTACAGGCTTCTGATTTCTGGCCTAGGCTGGTAGCCTTTGAGAGCTGCACTTCTAGCAGAGTCATCAGGTGTGCTTAAAATGATGAATTGGGCCATGAAACTATGAGTGTTGTGGTTGCAGAAAGGTACTGCAGAATGTTTTCAGGGTTCTTTTTCCTACTTGATAGCCTGGCACTGGAAACTGCCCTGCTGATTTCTGATGCCTTTGTAATAATGTTGAATTTGTACAAATGAAGAGGAAAAGAAAGAGAAGTCTGAGCTTATCTGTGCAAAACTTACAGGTGTCTGTTTGTACCAGACTAAAGGAACATTTTCTTATCTAGCTGGTGTTGTCAAGCAACCCTTGATTTGTAAGCAGTTCAGGGTACACCAAGGGCCCCAGAGAAGTGGTCTTTCAATATCACTGGTGGAACTGAGTGCTGTGATTAGAGCTGGTATAAGAGAGATCATCCAGCAAAGCTGAGAGGGAGGAATGTTTGCACAAAGTGAAGCTGCAGAGTGTGTGAGAAGTGCTCAGGCTTTGTTTTTTTGCAAGGCTAGATAAGTAGCAGTGAACATGTTTTTATCACATGAAAGCCCTGGAATTAAGGCGGGTCATAAGCTATTTTGCAGGCCCTTCTACCGCCTTGCTAACCTTTGCGTGGTAAACTGGGTCGCCTTTCGGTGGGAAGGCTGCAGTGAAACAGAGGCTGGGGTGATAATCCCCGATGAAAAGTCCTTCATGACTTTCGGAACTTCGCGGCTGCGGGGCTGAGCAGAATGGGTGGAGTTTTCCCTTTAAATAGCTGTGCCTGAGAGACTGTTGCTGCTGTTGTGGTGACACTTGGGTGTTGCTAAGGCTTTAGGAAGTCAGCGCTGACATATCTGTATTGGTGGTATGCTCTGCATGCACCGAAGTAAATGGATCATATGGTTTCATCACTGCAGTTCTGGTCTCTTCAAAGGAGATGGGCGTGGGTCAGAGACTTCAGGTGGCAGAGGACAGAATTCATGGCCAAAAAATGTGGTTTTGGTGTGCCTGGGTTTTTTTTCATGTCCTTACTGCTGTTGGCAAGTTGGGAGGGTTATGAAAGGATGGGAGGGGTAGTGCTGCAGTGTCACCTGCCTCTCTGTGTGTGTGCACAAATGTCCTCAGATTGCACAGTGTGGTCCTCAGGGTGACCTTGAAACTCCCCAGTTAAAGTCTTGCAACTGAGCACTGTGCAGACTTGGGAGCTTTGGTGTAAGTGGGTAGATCTGGGAGAGAAACATGCAGCTTGAGGACTTTCATCAGTTCTCTTAAGAGAGATTTCCTCTATGGAAGAACCCCACAGTGCTGCAGCCCTTGACTTGCATGGCTTTGCATTTCAGAAGACTGGAAGGATGTCGTTTTGCAGTGCTTTGTCCAGCTTGCTTAGCAACCTCAGGCAAATCACCCTTTTTGTATGAAGTTTCATCATTAGTTAAATGAGGGTAACTCTTTTCCTGCTGTTGGGGGGAGGGATGTGCTGTGAGGCCCATTTGGTATTTGTAAACCACTTTTGCTATCCTTTGAGAGCCTCCTTTGTGTGAGTGTCCCCATGATTAAAAACCCCTGGCTGCCAACAAATGCTCTCAAAAGTGTGGAGTACCTAAAGCTATGTAGTTTGAGAAGGTTGCAGAGAGGCACAAAATGTTGTCAGTGCTTTTTAGATTGTGTTTGACAATAGTCTGCTGAAGTAGTATGTTCCATCCTGTATGCAAATTAAACTTTGTCAATTTGTCTTACCACAAGATATCTGTATTTGATGCTATATTTCTTTCTCACAGATTCTGCCTGGCTTGTTCGTTGGCAACTTTAAAGGTAAGATCAGTTCTATCATTATCTCTAGGATTACTTAGCAGGGGCCTTAAGGTGTTTTACAGGCCTATGGAATTCACTTACATCTCTGCAGTTTCTTTAATCCCATCTTGTTTCATTTCTGGATGCACCTGGTAGCACCTAAAGAAGAACTTGTCTGCTCTCTCATCCATGCGCTGTTCTGCAAGTACTTTAAGAGAAGAAAAATGAACACCATCTCCTCGGAGCATGCTTCAGCTGGAATTCCTAAACATTGGCCTGCCTTAAATGATTCCTGTGCTTGGCAGGCAGGCCGGCCTGTGAGCCAGACAGATTCTTTGTAAGGCTTATTTCAAGCCTTCCTTATAAGTAAACACTTAGTATGCCTTCTGCTCGTTGCTTTCATTATTTTGGTTATTTATAACAACTGCTAAAGAGTTCTGTTATCACTGCTTGTGAGACTGATAGGTCTGCATATTGCTGTCTGACCACTGATACTTGTACTGCCTCTGTCACAGATGTAATATTATATGGATTTGGTTTTCCTTTTTTTCATGAGGCTTATTTTTTGTGTACAGAAAGACAGAACCATATTTAGAAAACACAGGAAACTTAATGTAGGCATCCAAATAAATGACCTGTTCTGAAAGTCGCCAATTGTGCCCATACAGTCGTTTTCATACCTGCGGACTGTTTCTGCTATGCTTGAGTACAAAAGCAAAGCAGGACTCATAGGGGCAGTTGTGATATCCTGGCCTTCCTGATCTGGCTGATATCACAGCGGTCTATTAAGACTGGACACCATCTGCATTAGATTTAGATGGTGCTGCACCTCCTCTCTGCCTCATGCCCTCTTCTACTTTTTCCCCTCTATCCCAAAACCTGTGAGTTCAGTGGGTTTTGCCCAGTTTACTTGCTTCTGCGTTGCTGGTCCTGTGTTTACTGCCCCTTGGGAAGTGGAGCTGAGCACCTTGTGAGGCAGCCCAGAGGTACACGTGAAGTTAAAGGCTGCCTTTTGTCACACTGGGATGCAAATGCAAGTATATCAGTTTGAGGGGAGTTAATCATGCCATGGTAAGGGAAATGAGAGGATGGAGGTGAGTTTATACTGGTGGAAGTAGGTAATGAAAGGAGAGAAAAAAGAAAGCTAGCAAGATAAAAGGAAAACAAGGGGAAAAAGGATAGTTTTGTTGCTGTCCTCCCTTGCAGTGGTATGTCAGAGTGCTCTCAAAACTAAGTTGGTCGCAGCCATGTTGCTTCCTCATTTTCATTTATTTTATTTCATTTTTTTTTCCTGTCAAGAAATTTAGGAGAGGGGTAGGATGGGAGGATGTTTGATAGTGGAGTCCTTTAGGTTTCAAGCTGTTTGGCAGGATGGGCTCAGGGAACATGGCTCTCAATCTGCCCCTCTCACTGTGGCCATCTAGTAAGACCTTGGTAGTCCAGCCAGGGGAGCAATACTTAGCCAGAGCATGTGTTTCTTGGTGCAGTTCTGGTTTTGGGTGAACCAGGTAAGGGGAGTTGGCCAGGGTTGTAGAGTGAGTCAGCATCTCTGTGGAACCCAGGGCCTGAGGCCCTCTGGCTGGTGCTTCTCTGGCCGCTCAACTGTGTGCCTTGCAAATGGTGCTTAAATGGCATGTCAGGGCACTTACACGCAGAGTAGAGGCATGCACATGAAGGTGGTGTTAGTGGGCAGTGCTTCTGGAAGTCGGGCAGAAAAAAAAAGCAGAGGCTGAAATGCTTCAGCTACTGCCGTAAAGTGTAAGGGTGGGTTGGCTTTAATCCCAGTGTTTGTGTTCGATGTTCTGTTTATCAAATTGATTTAGAACACAAACAAAATGTTCATTTATTTATTGCTATGACCTTTGCACATAATGCATTTAACCATTATGTTCTATCATCATGAGTATCTGCTGTTACAATCTTAAGTTAGCTCTCTTACCTGGAGAGGAAGAGAGAAGGTTGGTGTTACAGTACTTCACTAATACAACAGCCAACTCTCTGCATGCCTTGTTTCTCAGCGCCTCCCCGCTCCTGCCCTGCTTAAAAGCAGTTTGCATGAGCCCTCTGTGCAGTGAGGTCATCCCAGTTAGGAGCAGAGTTTGATTGCCATGTTCTTGGGGCACGTTCTGATGTGTGGCACTTCTTGAAGAAGAGACTAAGAAGTTTTGAGGCTGCCATAAAGGGGATCCTTGGCTGAGAAATGCTCAGCAGAATATATAGTTGGGATTGGTTAGAGTATCCCAGTTTGGGCAGTTGAAATGTCTAGACACTTTCAAAGACATGGTTTACACAATTATTTTGTGGAATGCATGTTAGAGCATGCGCCTATTTCTTCAGCTTGAGCCAGCTAGCTTGAGTTGAATAAGGTGGCATCTTCTCAGGAAGAGGAGTAATACTGGATCCCTGGCATTGTGCATCTCTCCCGGACTTAGTGCTGAGGCTTCGTAGCCCCGTCATGGCCTCTGTGCAGGGGGTAGTAGAGAGGAGGGAGCATCTGCGGAAGGCGGGTCAGGGAAATCTCTCGCAAGTGCTCTGATCTGCCCTCTGGAGGAGAGCTCTTCAGGCAGCCGGGCCCGCAGGGTTTCTATAGCTAGGTCAAAATGGTTCTTCCAGGCACACTCCTGTCTCCTTGCTGCATGGGATAACCCTGGGGACACTGACAGACTGGGAATAGGAGCAGTTGTTCCAGATGGGTGCCTCCCTGCTGAGTGAAGGCAGGATGTTAAAGATGTTAAACACTGTAATCCTGGATAGCTGTTACCTGCGGAGGAGGTATCCAGCAGTTGTTCTGATTGGGGAATTATTATTCATTTCTACTTTATGTATAGGGTTTCTTACTGTCTTTTTAGGTGTAACCAACTTAAAAACAATCTGTGACAGACAGCAAGTGCAGACTCCTCTGCTGACGAGATCTCTGTCTGAGAGATAAACTGAGGAAAAACTTGTGAAATAAATCTGTGGCAGAAAAGGTTTGTTGTCTTCTGCTACTCAGACTTTTGGGCACATGGAATGAAAGGGGCTTTTATAGCCACCATAGCGTCTTTAGGATAGAAATTTATTTGTAGTCCTGATATGGAAAACACTGAAGAACATGCTAAAAAAATCTCCACAAGTCCACATAACTTGAGTGTGTCTCTGGAAAACTCCTGAAAAATCATAGATCTTGGCATGTCTTTAAGTGCGTATTATCTTGTAAGATCTATAAGCATGATTCTGCTTATTAATAGCATGTTAACACTGGTATGTTGCTGAGAGAGTGTGTATGAGATTGGACAGCTAGAGGGCAGAAAAATTTAAGAAGAACCACAGTTGCCCATACAAAATGCCAAGACTTGAGTTTGATCTAAATGCCCAAAGAAAACTGAGCTGCTGGGCTTCCTCACTGAAAGTTAATGAAGAGTTATTTCTTTGCAGGTGGGAGACTGGTGGCTAAGAGAAAACTGAGGGAAGAGAAAGAAGTAGTTAACCTTCCTGCCTCTAGTTTGGAGAAAATTTTGGGTTGCTCCACATGTACCTTACAGATGAAATTCAGTCTTCTCAAAAGACAAAGAGTTTATTGTGGGATTGCATGCTGGCGTGTCTACTGCATTGGAAACCTGATGTCCCTTGAAAGGCATCTGTGCTCATGATGAAAATAGGTGCTTTGTCCCTCAAGAGACTGATATGACAGGGCTTTTTAGCCTGTTTCTCTGCACAAATAGAAAAAAAAACCCTGTTTCTTCTGATAGGAGGCACTAAATGAATGCTTATTTGGCACCAAAAGGTGTAGCAGTAGTGAGCACCACAGACTCAGGAGTATTTCTACCTTGAATATTAAAGACCTTGTGTCCTTCCTTATAATCATATTTGGAAGATTCAAGTTTTTCCAATGGAATATTTGGGGGCTTCCTGATTTGAAGGGGAAAGCCACAATATGAGGTTTAATTCCCCCCAAAGAGTCCAGTGTTGCTGTGGATGAGCTGGAGAGTCTAGGGAAAGTTTCTGCCCTTCCAGTTAATAAGTGTTAAAAAGGCAGTGCCCACCAAGTGGTTCTGCTGTGTTTATGTATATCCAGTTAATACCTATTATCAGCTGCTTTATTTTTTGGGAGGGTGGGAGGTGGGGAGTCCCCTTTTCTAAGGTTTTATTTCAGGTACTGAAAACAGGAGAGGGTAAAGATTCTTTTTTTTCAGGTTCATGGTTTGAAAGAAGATGCTTATAGTTACTCTTATTAAACAGAGTACGGGACCCTTTTTCCCACCTTTCTTGCTCCCTGAAAAGGTCATTCTGAGATGGTGGGACAAAATATGTATTAGAACATAGTGTGAAATGGGGACAGGAGATGTGGAGGTTTTGTTTATGTGCGTAGTTTCTCTGTCTGTGTGTGTCTGTAAGTGCAGATGGAGTCTGGACCAAAGCTTTACTGATGGGAGGCCATTCTCAGTATTAGCTCTTAATGCTCCAAACCACTAGAGAGGAGGTTCTCCCTTAGGCAGGTACCTGTCTCTGGTTCTCTCCAAAGCTAGGCTGTTTGCTCCCCACACAGTAAGGCTTCCCAAAGGTGAGGAGAGACAAATTCTGGCACACACACCCAGTGCACACCCCCCACCCCCCAAGTACTATTTTGATGACTGCCATTGCTTTTGCAATTGAGTGCTTGCAGTTCTGTGTATGAAGAGAATAAGGCAGGAGTCATAGAGTGAAACTGAGGGAAAAGAAGTGAAGTGTGGGTGTGGGAGGGAGAGAGAGAGGAAGACTTCTCCGATGTGAATTGTGTCCTTTTTTGTAAGGAGTTTCCTGAAGGCTTTACTCAAAAGTCCACATCAACTGAGAAGTGCTGTATGAGAAGGAATATGAGGTAACCTACTGTGAAGAATAATACCATATGTGATGGACCCTTTGCAGGCAAACAAGGTGGACTCTAATAGGTTTATTTCATCTTTAAATTTGGAAATGGAGTGTTGCATACAACGATTTCAAAATGCAAGCCTGCATGTAGTTGCACAGCACTGTGCTGTGGTAATAGTGATTCTTCTGGCTTTTGGTGGTTCTTTGCATAGCCCCTTAATTTTTTCGGTAATCTATGGTATGAGACCATGAGTGACAGGATATCTCATTTTTACTGCTGTTTAAGTAGCTTTATCTGGAGTATCTGTAGAGGCTTATGGCAGGTGCCAGGGGAACCAGGGGAATTTCCCATTTATAAACTGTTTAAAGTCTGGGTCCAGATAATATAGTCATTGTCTGGGAAGCTTTTTCTCCTGTATGTTTGTGCTTTGAGTGGTTATTTCCTAAAGATATTGAGGACCTGCTGGTTACCCTGGGATGTAGGTCTGGTTTAGCCATTTCCACCTTGTTTCTGGTAATATCTGAAATCTTGCTGTCTATAGTTTTGATGTGTTGAAATTCCTTTAGCCTAAGTCCTTTATTAACTGAAGAACTAAAATAGTTCAGTCCTTTCGAGTTGTGCTGTGTCCATTAGGCCTTTCACAGTGATTCAAAGCACTCAGTATTTAATTTGGATCACATCTTCTTTTAAAGCTGTTTGCCTTGTGTGGGAAGCTATTTCTTACCATGTTATACTGGTAATCAGAGATTGGGGGTCTGGTGGTGCTAAGTATTGTGCCATGTCTGGTGGTATGTATTAACACAGTGAGTTCTAGCCAGCAGGTTCTGAAATATGCCTTTAGCCTTTGGAGAACAGAAAGCAGTGATTTTTAGGGACATTTAGGCTGGCTTCTGGACTTCCTTGTCTGCTTAGGTGTTCTCTGAGGAATCACGACTGCCCTATAAACTTAAACAATCTGGAGATCAGGGGAATTAGAAGACTTCCCCTGGCAAACATTTGTGCTTCTTCTTTGAGATGCTTACTCTGACATCTTTTTAGGAAAGTTTAATTGTTCTGTGAAGCTAGGCTTTAATTCTGTTTCAGACCTAAATCAGCTAATTTTCTCCTGAAGGATTAGGCATCTGTGGTGGTTGTGCAGGCTTGACCAATAGCAAGTGAAATCAATGCAATTTTGACCTGTCTCTCTGTTCTATTAGCCTTAGAGAAGCTTTCAGAATTGGATTAGGTTTAAATTTTATTGCCTGTTCCTGTGCTCATGTGGGTCTTGTCTATGGAGCAGTATAATTAAATGCCCAATTCCTCTTTGTGATGTAGAGAAGGCACTGAAACTTTATAGTAGAGTGGAATAAGATGAAGTAAGAGATGCTAATTGAACTCTTGCAAGTACATAAAGAATGTCCAGGTGATACTATTGTTATTTTTGTACCTAGAGAGAGACAGTTTGAAACCTTTGTGGTCAGTGCTCTTTTTTTTGTGTGCAACCAGGCTAATGTGAACAGATTGTATGGGCAGATTTGCAAGGCAGGTGTTCACAAAACTACTGCTGTAATTGCCATGGTGTACTGTGCCATTCTCAAGCAAAATAGGTCAAAAGTAAATGGACACAAACTAATTTTTACCTGAATTAGTGGTTCTTCGAGGTAATTTTCTAGCACATTAATGGTTTAATATGGGGAAGGTTGCTCACTCATGATAGAGGATCTATTTTACCTTCTTTCTCATAGAAACAAACCTATGTTTTCACAATATCTAGCATCAAATTTTCAGTCGCCCTAGTGTGCTTTCCAGTTTTGAACGTTTGAAACACTTGGTTACAGGTCTAGGAAACACCTTTTTACAACTGCGCTTCCTTGCTGTAGCATTGTGCTTTTTCACACATTGTGCTGTTTATCACCTTGATCTCTCTTCAGAATTAAAATTATGGTATGTATTGGCTAAATGCACATTTTACCCTACTAGTCTCCAGGAAATAAGAATCTAGTTATCATTTTGATTTGCCCAATTTCCTCAATTGAGTTTACTTCAATTCAAGTGTTACAGTGGCTTCACTTCTCAGCCCGGGATATCACAAGGTTTGTCTTCCAAGTGAAACTGCATCTCCTGAAGGGGTATTTGTGGGTAGATAAGAGGTAAGCTATTTCTTGTACAGCTCTGACTGCTTGTTCAGATGGCCATCACCTGCACATGGGCATACACAGACTTACATTTCAGATGCAAAATACATGAAACTTCTGACTTAAGAACATATTCCTGAGTCACTTAAGCTGGTTCTTTATATAGTATATAATTTGCTTTGGAGTTAGAAGTGTGTCTTCCCATTACCCGCACTGATGGTGTTCTAGAACAGCTGCATTTGGGGTTTTGCTTTACTTCATGAAGCTTCAAAAAAAAAAAAGTACACGATAAGTGATTTTCAACATGCAGAGTGGGCTATTTCAAGAGGTTAAAGAAATTCTGTTCCTTTTCTTCCCTTTATTACAGATGCCCGAGATGTAGAGCAATTGAGTAAGAATAACATTACGCACATTCTTTCAATCCATGACAGTGCTCGCCCTATGGTCGAGGTAAGAGGTGTGGGGGACTCCATGGTAAATACTGACTTTGTTGTTGTTGACTGTTACAGCCATCTTGAGGTTAATTTCTTGTTCTGTGCAATTGATGTTTTGAGACTGGTGTTCCCATGTTTGACAGCTGTAGTTTTGGCATCCAGTCTCAGATTTTGTTGTTGCTGCTGTTAATAACAAAAAAATTTAAGTGACAAAGGAAGAAGTAATTACAGTGTCAGTGTAACGCACTAGGGGGATTGTGTTACTTATTTATAGTAAAGGTAAGTTTTCTTATGTGTGCAGGTCAAACAAAACATAAACAACATTCCCTCTCCCCTTTCCCCCTTACCAAACCTCCTTTGTGCTCAGGCCCCTTTCATAGCAGATGGTTATGTAAGAGGTTTGTAGTCCTTTTCTGTGTAAAGTAGCCTTATTTCGGCTAATCATCTAATATAGCAGAGGTTTGTAGGTCTCCAACACTTTAACATGAAGTAGTATTCCCCATTTTACTGAAGGGAAGCTGATTTGAAGAGCTGAAATGACTTGACTTCCAGTGTCTTGTTGAGCAGTGAAAAAGCTGGGACCTGGCTGCAGGTCTTATCTTTTGGATTGTTTTGCTTTCTTCTTTAAACCAACTTACCTTGGAAGGAGGGGAGTTGGGGAGTTTGGCTGGGCTCTGCTATACCTTAAGATCCTGCTGTGTGATTTTTACTTTGGGAACAGCTGTCACCTTAAATTTGTTTGTTCCTTTTCTGCTTTCTACTTTTCATGAAAATATGCCAAAATAGTGGGTAAAGCGGGTGTTAGCTCTCAGGTGCTGCTGGGAATTTCTGCATTTCATTCTCTTCATGTAAGGTCTTTAGTGAATTCAGTCCTTAAACTACAGAATTTCCACCTCTTGCAGGCAAGTCAATAGGTAAGCTGAACAAAAGGTATCCCTAATATGTCATGGTTAAAACCAAACTCAAGTTAATGGTGAACTCAGGGTTGACCTTGTACTTAGGAGTGTGCTGAAGCAGAGCTTTAGCTGTTGACTTTTTATTGTCTCCATTTGACTTCTGTTATGCCTGATGCTTATTAAGTCTGAAATGTATTGAATTTCAAGAGTGCTCTTAGTCGAAGAGATAAACTGGGCAAAGGATATTTAATGTTTCCTGTAGGGTGCTGTTGTCTAAAATGAGTAGGAGCTTGCTTTGTTTTATTATCATGATTAGAAAAGTAGGAAGACTAATTATGGCACAGATAACTATGGCCAGTGTTTCTTGTGGAAGTGGTAGTTTTGGCAGCCCACAAGCCGCCTTCTCGCTTGTGGTGGTGCATCTGTTTGTGAGGCTTCATGGTAAATAGACCTGGGAGCTTTTGTGGGTTAAATATAACTAAGTCACCATTTCTTTCTCTAGCTACTGCCACAAAAGACGTGAAGGATTGTATTTATGCAGATCTGTTCCTAAACTGGTTTACAATAATCTGTCAAAAGTTACAGTGGCATGGGAACAGTTAGTGGCTGTTTGAGGAAGGGATTGCTTTATTCATCTGTGCTTCTAAAATAAATGTTTCTCCAGCTGTGCCTTCTGTTTTCTGTGCACAATATATTCCTTCTTGTGACAGTGGTCTGGAAAACAGCTGTTAAAAACTTCTCCCCAGTTCTTAAAGTAGTGGAAGCAAGTTCCATTTGTCTGGGAGCTGATTATTAATTACTTTATCATTCATGGTCTTACTGTGGTGTTTGTGTGCAACTAAATGCTTCTGTTAGGAACCAGAGCCTAGAAAACATTTACTAGGTTGTGTTACTTCCTTTGTTATTTACATCTTTGTCAAGTTGTAGGTAGGTTTGTTTACAGCCTGTGTATCCACATTGTGCTCAGGGGTTGTTCTCAAGTCCACTGAAGTCAAATGGGAATGCTTTCCCTACATGTCTCCCTCTTCCCCTTTCTCCCCAGATTTCACTGGTGGAAAAGCTAGGGTTCAGAAATTTGATGTTATTCAGACCTCTAAACATGGAATTGCAGTGATCTGAGAATCTGCCCTCCCCAAGATTGTTTTGTATGTGTGTCATGTTGATTACCTGTAAAAAGCTGCCTTTTCTTGGACTGCAGTAGTTGCATTTGTCTTTTGCTGATAATATTTTATCTGAAGTATTTCCTATTTAACCTGTAGGAAATGCTGCATATACTTCATTCAACAAAACATTTTATTTAGGTCAAGCTATGGAAGGTGGTTTTAGACATCAGAAACTCAGTAGTGTTGTAGTAACGTGTTATCAAAGAGAATTTGGCCTTTTTTTTGGCTGTCTGCGGAACAAGTGAGTATCTGTGCATACCTTAGCTCTCAAAGAGTTCACAAAGTCAGATACTGAAGTTTCAGTAATGACTGTTTTGATGCAGTAATACTTATGATACAGCACTTAAAGGTGATGATGTTGGGTAAAGAAATGACCAAATGAAAAGGACCAATCTGGCTTCATGGTCCATGCTCAAGAATACAATGCTAAAAAATTAAAAGCAAATGCCAGTGTATATGGTGAACACCAGCTTGCTACAATTTTCCACTGTAGGAACTTACCATATTACCCCTCTGTGATGTTACAGTTACTTACTTGATTGTTTAAAATGCTCACAGTACCTTTTAAAAAGTGTGGTTTCCTCTGTGCTTTATATACCGCAGTATTTGGATATATGTTCCTTTAGTTCCTCATAAGTTGGTAAGCTATTAGAAAATGATTGAATCATTTCACAAGAAAGTATTTTATTGGTTTAGGTTACATAGTGTGTGCCTGTTGTGAAATAACTTAGTGTTCGTATGCAAATTTGGTTTCAGACATTACATCAATGATCATTTACAAACCCTCATGGATGTCTGATTTATGGGTGGCTCGTTATCAAAGATTGGACTTAGGAAGTTGTGTACTTTCAAGCTGGAATAACAGGAAAAAGTGGGTTTAAAAATCAGTTGGATTCTAAGACATTTTATACCATTAGACGTTGGCAGCCTGCATTAAGTGTAAGATACGGAATTGTTCTGTAGGGTTTTGCGGGATTTAGACTGGAAAGAATTTGTCAAAATCTGACCTGAACTATCTTGCAGTATTGCCCCTTAGTTATTTTTGTATGAAGTGTTTCAAGGAAGTTTGTCCTCTGATAAACCCTGAAATTAATTTATGTTTAGAGAGCATCCTAAGGCTGTTGTTCCAGTAAAGTACACCATGGTTATACCGGGTCTTAACCACTTAGGTGGTTTTGTAAAGATGCAGATTTATAACTCCATCACAAAAAACTACAGGTAACTGCTGGTCCAAGAGAAAGGACTGCATACTGTATGGAACAGGGTTTGTTATTTCATATGCACAGAAGTCTTGTGTGTTCCCCCACCCCCTCAAGTAAGAGCAGAGCAGTGTCTGACAGTATCATGTGTTCCTGCAGAGGCACAGAAGCAATAGCTTTGGTGAATCAAGTTGGCTTTTCCAGGTCACTTTGGATGCCTGCCCATGGAATACTGACAGATGTTTTATAACTCCGCACAAAAGCCATATATGGAGGCGAATAATTAGGTTTCATGCCACCTCCATTCTAATCTGTATCTTGATTACTTCAGGTTTTAAGATCTCTGTTCAAAATGTGAGCTACACTGAAAGGCAGATGGGGAAACATATCTCAGAGTGTGCTTTAAACAGTAGTGTATCTTGGTGGTAACCTGTTGAATCTATCCAGCAGGCTGTCATCTATCTTTGACAAGGTCCACCACAACAGCCTCCTCTCTAAACTGAAGAGGTGGATTTGATGGATGGGCTGTTTGACAAATGAGGAGTTGGTTGGACGGTCGCATCTAGAGGGTAGTGGTCTATGGTTCAATGTTCAGATGGAGATCACTGATGAGTGGTGTCCCTCAGGGGTCCATACTTGGACAAGTACTGTTTAAAAAAAATAAATCATCAGGGGTGGAAAACCTGTGCTATGAAGACAGGCTGAGAGAGTTGGGGTGGTTCAGCCTGGGGAAGAGAAGGCTCCAGGGAGACCTTACAGTAGCTTTCCAGTTCCTAAAGGGGCCCTACAGGCAATCTGGAGAGGGACTTGCTATGACGGCATGTAGGGGTAGGACAGGATGGAATGGTTTTAAACTGAAAGAGAATAGATTTAGATGAGATATTAGGAGTAAGTTCTTCACTGCGGTGAAACACTGGAACAGCATAGAGATGTCCCGGCCCTGGCAGCATTCAAAGTCAGGTTGAATGGGGCAACCTGAAGATGTCCCTGCTCTTTGCAGGCGGGATTGGACTAGATGATCTTTAAAGGTCCCTTCCAACCCAAATTATTGTATGATTGATCTCTTGGTAGAACTCTCTTTTTAAAGATAGGACAAATAGCTGTTGGAGTTGGAGACCAAAAGGCTAAAGGTCTGACTGTTGTGATATCCATATATTCTAATCCAGCTGTTGTGGTCAGTCAGAACCCACAGAGAATGTGGAAGCACTCTTAATGACTCCTGAGCAATTCTTCCCCTTATTCCTTCAATTGTTACCATCCAGTTGTTAACTCTACTGCATTAGCTCTGGAGTCTTAACAACTTTTGTGTCAGCTGATGTAAGTGAAGGAAGTAAAGGCAAAGCTTTTACTTACCAAGCATCCTTTACTTACCAGTTGCAGGTCCATTGAATCTAAGAGTGTTCCTCTGGATTTTCCAGGTGTTTGACTCTGTTCCGAAGGATGTTAAATGGAGATGAATGTGGGCCCAAGTCAAACAGGTTTTGATGTGGATTGTGCAGCTGCTTGAAAACAGCTGCTTCACATTCTGGAAAGCAAGTGTTGTAGTGGACTGTCATGTCCAAGTAGCTGCTGCACAGGCAGCATCCTTAATCCTCTCTTACTACTCTTCACACTACCCACAACCCCCCCAACTATAGATTTAAATACTGCCAAGAGCAAGATGCAATTAATGATACCATCTTAATCTGGTACATGCTATCTCCAGAGCAGTTGTTTTCCTCCCCTTTTTCCTGAACTGCTGGCTGTACTAAGCTACTG